TAGACAGTTCACCTCTTCTGCTTTAGTGCTATTTACAGATGGACACGACTATTTACAATACTATATAAAAAACCTAGTTGTTGTCAAAATACACACAAGATCAAGCACTGCAAGTTTGGAGGCTGAAGACAGATCTGTTGCTGCCAGTTGCTGCCAGGGGAACAACTGCTGGAGACGGGCTTTTTGAAGCAGCCAGTTGATAATGGGGGCCAATCAGCAGCTGCCAGACCAAAGCCAGCCCAAAACAGCTCAACCAATCAGGAGGACCTGGAGAGACTCTTAAAGGCACAGAAGACACATACAAAACAGTCCAGACATGCTGACACACACTATCTTGGGTCCACCTTTTTAAGTAGTTGCTTAAAGCCCTGCCTTAAGCAACTACTTAAAGCAGTTGCTTTAACCATTAACTCCATTAACTCCATCAGTAATCCATACACGATTTATTCTTCCTCTCATATGGAATGCAGATAGCAAGCGCTCCGGCAGTGCTGGGTTTGAGCCATTCATTTATTTTTTTATTTATCTTTCCATGCTATGTGTTTTTGCCTCAAGTGGTGAAACAAGTTTGTTTCTTCCACTTTTAGCAGGAAGATCTTTCTTGCATACTTTTTGCTGAAGTAGCTCTCTGTTTAGGCTCTCAGATATGCCTGTCTTGTCGTTCGTGATAGGGAACGTAAATGCACAGTGCTCTACCATTAGCAGTAATGTAAATATAATTTTTTTATCATGAAAAAGTATATCTGTTTTTCAATAAATTAATAATATTTCCAAAGTTACTGACCAAAAATAATGGCGATTATTATTTTTGCTTTAATTGAACTCAATTACATGTGCCAACAAACATGTATGAATGTTTTTTGGGAGGTATACATCCATTAGCTGCAACATTAAAATCACTTGCCTAATATTATGTCTCAGCTCTGTTCTGACAGGACATGCTGGCAGAACCTCTGGGGGTGTCCTGGTTGTCACTGGAATGTTGGCAGTGATTCCTTTAGGATTCTGTGTGTTACTGGATGCAGACTGTGGAGCAGCGCATCCATAGACACTTGATCAGGTTAGCATCTTGTGCTGCGAGAGCCTGCTCTTATTGGGGTGTGCCATTGGCATTTTAAGATTCATAGTACATATGTGTCAAATTAACATTCACATAAGTAGTCAGACTTAAGGGTTACCAGGAGAACACAGAATGATCCATGTTATTCACCTGCACATTTTTTTCCCAAAATATCCCTTTTTGCTTTTCGCTAAAACAGAGTAGGGTCTTGATAAGGATTATCAGCTATGATGACTTGGATCTCAGAGGGTTAATGTAGCTGACTCTGTCACACTAACTATATTACACTATATGTAACACTGTTGTATCTAAAAGATAATCAATGTTTATCATAATAATATTAAATAGATCGATGTAGCTTTAACACAAGTAGAAATAAATGAAGCTTTAATGTGCAAACATTGGCTAGTAGGTGGTTATGTTTATGGTTAACAGATAGAGTGCTTAACAAATTATTGATGTTATAAATTATACATGTCAAAAACGTGTTTGAAATTAGACATGACTTTAATCACTGAGCTGAGTTAAATTAGTTATTAAATTAAACCCAAACTTGACTACCATTAAAATGAATTTTCTGCTGCAAGTAAACAGCAATTTGACATTTGAATTGAATTTGAACTGTAAAACAGTACATTTGGAAATTATTATTACATGAAACAGCAATAGTTATATTTTATTAGTAAATACTTTTTAATCATCTTTAAAGAGCTTGCGCAAACTGGGGGATGAGCCATTAGAGAAACATCAAAAATTAAATATGTAATTTTTAATAATGTTAATAAACCTTACATTGGGTGGTGGTCTAATAAATTTGTTAAGCAGTGTATATGTAGAAATCTTTCTCTTAGAGATAATCGTCCAAATACACTGTTTTAAATTTACCCTCTTCTCCCTCTATGGTTTGACCACATCGAGTCATTACTTATATTGATCTCCCTTCTTCCAGTCTACCACTTTGTAAACTTTGTGAAGCAATATTTAAGACTCTATTTTAAAGTTTGTGTGTTGCCAATATTCTAAAACAAACAAATTATTCTGGAGTTCTCTTCACTTAGACACTTTTTTAAAGAAAAAGCAATATCCTGCAGCTACTCCCAAATGCACTTGCAAGCACATACAGATGCCCGCTTGATTACATAAATACATATACATGCGCCCATACACACACACACAAACACATTGCATTTTATGAGCTGGTGTTTATCCAGTGGTCAGACCAGGCTCTTTTTAATGTGCGTGAAGCCCAGCAGCCTTGCTGTTAGCTATTAAGATCAGCATTACAAGAGCTTGCATTCATGCACACAACGCACATGCATGCACACCTCATAAAGGTAGCATTATGGCTTTGCAAGGTAGATGAAATATGCTTTGTTTTTTGTTGCTTTTTTTTAGTGACAACCATGTGGACCAGGCAGGGCTAGTTTTGGGGCTATGAGGCTCAGAATATAGGGCATGGGATTTAGGCTGGCGCAGGGTTTGGACTCTGCATGTGATCGGGTGACTGTGGAGGCTGTTTGAGTAAAGCAAACTCATCGTTATGTTAAGAAACCAGTTTGAAATGATCTGAGCTTTGTGCCATGGCTGTTATGCTGCACTAAGCCAGCATAAGATAGATACACTGTGTCATGAAGGGATGGACATATTCAGCAGAGAGAGTACATCCATGGAGAGTAAGAGAGAGTAAGAGAAATCAGGTGAAAAAAAAAAAAACAGTGAAAACCATCCACTGCAGCTGCTGTCTGCCCTTTTTGTGCTACTTTTTGTTAACTTTTGTTCTCCCTTCTTGGTGAACTTAGCTGTTGTTCCCTTTCCAGCTTTTCAACCGGTCAGCATTGGCTCTGTGCGCAGCATCATCTGTAGTGACATTCACTGCTTAGTGGATGTTTTGTGCTTATGCGTGTGTTTGGAGTGAAGCACTAAAGAAAGGACTGCAGAGGCTGGAATAGAAATTAAAAGGTAGCCAAGCAACAGGGATAAGCACACATGCACATTTTTCCTCTCCTTTCCATCTTTCCAAGGGGACAGGAGTAGGAAGACGATACAACCAAAATACTGAGTTCACAGACAAGAATGCCTGGATGATTTTAGGGGCACATGTGGTCGTGTACCTATCTCCAGACTCCACTAGTTGTTAGTGAGGTATTTTAATAGATTGCTGTCTCTATAAAGCTGCCTTTGATCATGCACTCAGGCTGTACATGAATCTTGATTACACTGGAAAAAGGACACCTGATCACACTCCATCTGTCTCCCTGTGCCAAGGAACATTGCAGTTTTGTTTACAATGTTTACCGATAGATGTTAGAAATCTAAGTATAGCACTCAGTTTGAGATTGAAGTGCAGATTTTCAGCTTTTAATTTGTTGTTTTTTACATCCCTGACTGATACACTGGCAAGTTAAAACACTTTAACCTGTGTCTGACTTCCTTCACTGCTCGGGCCATCACATTAAGCATGTTACTAAAATGTAATCTAACACTTTCCCTAAATGGGGTACTGCATTCATTTAGTTTAGTCTTTTTTTTCTTTTTTTTAAGAAAAGCTGGGCTTAGAGATTAGAGATTCAGGTTCTCAGGTCATCATCAATGATAATTTAGACCTAACAGAGCTGTGGGTGATTGGTGTGCATAATGTAATACAAGTTAAAAATTAAAATTAAGTATGAAAGGCTGAGTGAAACAGTGTTTGAACTCATGCAGAAAAGACATAGAAAGTGTTGGTGTGCAAAGAAAAACATATGTGCTCTTTACAGTACATACTTTCTGATCACACACCTAGACTGCCGGTACTTACCGACGGTTGCCATTGAGGCAGACAGGCGTATCTCGGTCGTGGCTGGACTTCTTACCTCTCTCTCACCACTCCCACGGTGGGAGATGATGGGAGCTAAGAGGAGTGGGACAATTTGAGATCTGAACCTGGTTTAACTGATTGTGCTGTTCCATGTGTACCCCCAAAATGCACCTCATAAAGTTGCCACTCTACAAAGCCGAACCTCCTGTGGGACATCTGATATTACTGCGTACATGTGTGGGAGCAGGTGGGGGGTGTATGTGTGCAGCACATACAATTCTTGTTTGTGTGCTGCTGCGTGTTTGCTAACGTGTGTTTATACTCACATGCGCCCCGTGCACTGGGGCAGGCCATAATTAACTCCAGATGATTTTGAGTGCCTGCCAGCTTCCCAGAATAGCAGCACTGGTTTGCAGCCCTCCAACTGGCCTTGGCAAATATTTTAGCAACCCCATGTTTACCTTCACACTCTACACTCTCACTCACTCAGAGCATTCCTCATTCCAAGCGCCTCTCTATCAGAAATAATCTGCTTTTTCATCATTTACCCCCAGTGGCCGGTAGCACAAAGTAAACTCCTCCACAGCACCTAAATTGGGCAAACTCAACAGCACGCTGCCCACACATAATGCTGCTGCAAAAGCTCTCCTGCTCTAATCATGATGCATTTATTACTGTCTTACACAAAGCAAACCCCTGCATTGTGTGTGTTGTGTATCGCTGATGTTTTACTCACATAAAAACTCAGGTAGCAGGGCATTCCACTCCGTGATCGACGGGTTTGTCTAATGAGAGTTCTGCTGAGGCATGACTTGGCCTGCTGACAAGCATCTGAGATCTGAAAACCAACAGAGGGATGGGGTGTTATTATAATACAAGCATGCACATTGAAGGTGGTGTTGTTAAAGCTGTGTCAAGGCATTAATTCCTCTCCGTGGAAACGCTAATCTGTTTTCCCAGTGTGTCTCAGAGGGATAAGTCCTCTGCTACCTTTTTAACCCCACCCAAACTAGAGGTGGATGTCAAAGCTCGATGAGCGATGATCTTGCTTATGACACCGGTTGGTGTACCTTTGGTTCTGTGAAATCGAACAAGTGGCAGACTAAACTTCTTTGTCTTCTCTTCCTCGTGTTTTTTTTACAGTGCCGTCCGTCCAAAGGCAGGAGGCGGGGCTACTGCTGGTGCGTGGACAAATATGGGCAGCCTCTCCCCGGCTATGATGGCAGGCAGTGGGGCGAGAAGCAGTGCTACAACCTGGAGAGCAAATGAGAGGATGGAGGAACAAAAAGTGGATGGAAAGGGGAAGACGGTGTAATATGGGGGAGGGATGGGCGAGGGGGTGAGGGGGGCGAGAAAGAACGAGATCCCACTGTGCTCTTGCATTTAGTTTTATGTAAACATCTGAAGGAACTCTGGACCTCTGATTTCAGGTCCTGCTTCTGTTGGAGGGAGGGAAGGGGGGACTAGGGGAAGGTGAGGGGGAGGGGTAAAGGATAGCGCACAGCCTTCTGTCCATCACAGCTATCTGTCCTGTGCTAGGGGGAACCACCTCTGTCCTTTTTTTAAAATAAAGGTTTAAGCTGAAAGCTGGGGAGGGGAGGGGGACCCGTCAACTGCACTATTCTTTTAGAGAGAGGAAGGAGGGATTTTTCCACTCACTTTAAAGAGGAGTTGTTTGTGACTGTGACCTGCACCCCCACCTCTTAAAAACCCAACGCCATTGTTTGTTTGTTTGTTTGTTTGTGTTTGTGTGCCCATCTGCCAGTTAGTAACTGCGTGTGTGTGTGGCTGTGTAACATGCATGCACAGCTGCATGTCTGCATGCAAGTGCCGTGTGAGTTTGTGTGTTTGTTTGTGTAAATAAATACTGCATGTCACTAAACTCAGTTTAGAGATTTCTGACTGCCCAACCCCAGGCCCTGCTCCATTAAACAATGCAGAAAAAACATAGCACTCTGGCTCAGGGTCCATTATTAAGTGAAGGATTATAAAATATTAGACGGTAGGGCTTTAACTTTTTAGTGCAGCTCGGGGGGCAGCCTTGCTGTTTCTAGTTCCTTGTTACTAACCTGCAGGGCAAAGGGATTGGAGGCAGTCCATGCAGCCACAGTGCCTTAAAAACTAGCCTTTCATTACCTCCTCTTCAGATTCAGCTCTTCCTCTTCTTCAGTAGCATAAAGCAATACTTCACTGAAAAGCTACCTTATGAGTATCGTGCTTGACAATTTTGAGGCTTGCATCTTTGATGAGGAGAGCAGCTATAACTAAAACAGTATACACAAAGATCCTGATACAGTGCCATGAAACAGTATTTTCTCCTTCTCTTCTTCCTTTTTTTGTATATTTGCCATACCCAATTGTTTCAGGTCATCAAATGAATTCTAATATTGGACACAGATAGCCAAAGGAAAGACAAAATGCAGTTTTCAAATAATGTTTTTGTTTAGCAAGGGGAAAAGCTGTTCAAACTTAGCTGCATCTGGGTGCATTTCAATGATATTGGAGACGCAAACCTGAGTGCAGAATTTATAAAATTAGGAGCTGGCTAAGGTGATCCTAATTTTTTTTTTTATTGTGGAAAACAAAAGTTTTCAAACTTTTCCAGGCCTTAAACCTGATGCGTATTCTCCCTCATAGTAAATCTATAAAAACAAGGCGTTTAGGAAAACAGTGAATAAAAAATTGCATTTCTAAAAAAGACAAAAATTGCAGTTCAGTATTGAATATTACATAAAATAACCTATATATAAAGTTTCTTTTAATGGCAGAGATGCGGAAATGTGTGCATGTAGCACAGAGCCGTGGCTCAGTGTCTAAGTGTCTTAATGAAAATGTGCCTTGAAGCTATTTAGAATTCTTATCTTGTTTGATCTGCTGCTCACCATAAACAAGCACAAACAGAAGTTTTGGATTTTTAACTGTATTTTCATAAGTTTGACGGCTTTTCATATTGATAAAAACCTCCTGTTTTGGCCATTCATACTAAAAAAAAGTAATGGGATTTCTGCTCTTCTAGAAAATCCTGAATGAGAATTTCCGACCATCAGTTTGTGCCATGTGCCCAAAGGGCACGTAAGGTAATGCAGCAATACAATACATTCAGGGCACCCCAGCAAGTCCACCTCTGCATGGCTCAAGAAAACAGTGGACTAGAAGTGGACTAGTCGAGGTCTAGTCTGATTAAGATGCTTTGGCGTGACCTTAAACAGACCATTCATGTTCGAAAACCAGGGCTATCTCTGTCTAACATTAAAATTTGTTAAGTGTGATTAAAATGCAAAATAACAAAAAAAAATCAGGGAAAAAAAAGTTTTCATGGCACTGTAAACTTCTTAAACTGCTTTTGAAGGAAAGTCCAGTTCTTTGGGACACATTTTAAGAGTGTAAACTTATAGTTCTATTGGATGCTAAAGCTACGTTATTATTACGTTATATCTACAGATGCTGCTTGGCCAAGGAGACAATGCAATAAAGCTCCTGGAATACAGTTTTTGTTCTGTTAATGTCAAGTGATCACAGAATATGTAAGAGGGAAGATTTTCTGACTCAGTATATATTTTGTCTTGTCTCCCTCCCATCACCCCCAAGTGTTCATGGCAGATGGCTGCTCCTTCCCGAGCTTGGTTCTGCTCAAGGTTTCTTCCTGTTAAAAGGGAGTTTTCCTTTCCACTTTTGCCAAGTGCTTGCTCATATGGGGTCATCTGATTTTGGGGGTTTTCCCTTTATTATTGTTGGGTTTTTACCTTGGAGTATAAAGTGCCTGATGTGACTGTTGTTGTGTTTTGCAACTATTGAATTGAATTGAATTGAATTGAATTGAATTGAATTGAATTGAATTGAATTGAATTGAATTGAATTGAATTGAATTTCACCAGCTTCTGAAAACACATCCACTAAATTGGCATAAAAAGAAAGAAAATGATACTTTATGAAGGTTGGTCAACTCTTTTGTTGATGTGAAAAGCCAACCAAAGTGAAAATGACAATGGGAATGAGCAGTGGAAAGATGGCTTATGTAGCAACAGCAGGAATGGTTAGTGGAATTTTGCATATTTTTTTGGTAACTGCAGCTGCCAGTCCCTGCAGCAATAGTAAGTCACAAGCTCTTCAGAGTGTCCTGTCATGCTAACAGGTTCACGTTTGATATCTGAAAGACATGTTTTCAGAGGAGTATTAAGCACTTGCATGCTGCTCTGCAATTTTAGGGATCACTTTGGCTAGTTTAACGTCTCGTCTTTCTTTTTGGTGCCCCTGCTGTTCTTGTCTTCATCCATGTCCCCCTTTGGCCTTCAGCCCCTCTGTCATACATCTTCTCACTTAGCCCATCCAACCCTTCTTGTCTTCACCCCTACTGTTGGAAGGTTTGTCCAATCCGTGTGCCTAATTTCCTCTCTCCAGCACCCTGCCCACCTCCAGTACTCCTCTCTTGTCAGTGATGCAACCTGGTGTAGGTTTTTTTTTTTTTAATCGGGGTGAGCCCAGTATGACTGGCTTGCATTGCCACAGGTGCCAGCTGCCCCTCATGCTTCAAGCACAAGCACTTAAAGCACTTTAGCTGCACTGCTACTTGTCAATGCATGCAGTTAAAGACAATTGGACCTATCAGCATCTGCATTCCTTTCCTAGGTAATGTCAGATGAAAGAGTGTGATACAGTTTGAAAAACAACAACAACAAAAAACAATACTAACCTATGGAGGAGGAGGAAAAAAATGTAAGAAAGAAAGAAACAAAACTACACCAGGACTTCTGACAGCAAACTTAGAGATCAGCCCCTTTAGAAGTTTTCCATTCAATGCAACTATTTCTTTTCTCTTTTCTTTTGGTTGTTGTTGTTGTTGTTGTTGTTTCTTTGAAAAAACTTGCTTGTATGATCGTACGCCAACAAATCTCCACAAGGTGAACACGGCACCAAATATGCATTCACACAAGTGGTAGGGGGTCCGAGGGAGGAGGTGTGGTCCTCCTCGAGGAGCTTCCTGCCCTGATGCTCTCCTGCGTCCTGTGTAAAGACTTGAAAAGTGGAGAGAGCGCCGACAAAGAATGCTTGCCCAGTAGCTTGGTAGCATAAAAAACATCGGCTGTAAACTTCCTCTAACAGACAGCAACATCTTAGAACCAGCCTGTTGGTGCTATATCCAATCTATTCAAAGACTTGATGTTAAGGGGGAGGACACACATAAAAATATGTTTAAGCTATTCCCTCCCTAATATTTGTGTGTCTTTTTATATATTATTATTATTATTATTAGTATTAGTATTAGTATTAGTATTAGTATTTCCTGGCCAGCTTTGTGTCTGACTAGACATCATGTACAGTACGTAAAAATAAAAAAACCTTATTTATATAAGAAAGAACTATAAGCTGATCCAAACTTCTTATGAACACCAGTGACTCACCAATTGCACAGCAAAAGTCTATGATTCAGTGTACTTTGGGGAATATAATCACTAATGAATGTTTTCTTCTTTTTTTTAAATCAACCTTTTCCTTCTGTTGCTCTTTGGATAGCTCTGTGCACATCTACATCAGTCAGACATTCAGATACATCCTCATCGTAGTTCACTGCTTCTTAAGGCCAGTGAACCTCTCACCTCTCAGTAAGTCAGTTCTCTCCATGCACACCCAGCCATCCTGCCCCAGTCTGTTAGCAGAGCCAGGGTCACACTTGTGTAATGTCACCTTTTATCTTTTCCTTTCTTGCTTTTGTTTTCTTCTTGCTGGTAAGACTCTTCTCTGTTCACGGGTAAATGTATTCAAGTTTATCATGCAATGATTTTTTTTTTATCATAGCTAACTAGAAATCACACAGCTATTATTTTTCTCTGAAAAAGGAGATGATTTTGAATATTTAATGTCTTTTTTTTTTTAAATAAAAATGCAACACATTTTAAGCTGCTGCCTCAGTTGTGTCTTTTTCCCCACTTCTCTGACTTGTCTTCATCTTAATTTCAGGAACACTATTTTTTTTGTGCTCCTGTTTTTTGAATGCAGTTGGGCTCCCTTCAGTCTTGGAATGTGTCAATAAGGATAAAGCAAAGGTTCAATTTGTAAAGAACAAAAATAAATGTGGTGGTGCCAGGCAGGCTGGCAGTGGGCATGAGAGGTTGAAGCAAATTCCTGTGCCCGACCAAGGCAAACAGAGAACAGGTCAAAAGGCAGCGCAGAGCTGCTTGTCCCAGAGAACCGGCTAAAGTTAGAAAAAGGACCTCCACTTTAGATCACTGTGATAACACTGCTCACAAACACACACTGAATATAGCAAAAGTGGTCCGGGAGAGCATCGACACAGCCTCTGCCAATCATGTCCTGATGAAGCTGTTATTATTATTCTCATGTTTTCTCCACCTTACAGTGCACAAAACAAGCCTGCTTGTGGGGAAAGAAATGTCAGGAGCACATAGCTGAGGTTAATGTTTTTATTAAATATATCACCATTTTTTCTCTCTTTCTCTTATATCTCAATTACAAAAGTGTACATACACACGAGTGAGCAGTTAGTCACTTTGGAATAGACTCACATAAACAATAATTCTCTCTCCAACAGCAGCATGTGGCTAGAGTCGAGCCAGCGCACACAGCAGGGCTCTTTTTTTTTCTCTTTTTTTCTTATTGGTCAGAGAGGAATGGCAACATGTATAAAGTAGCAAATCTTTTTTTATGACATCTACACAGGTGACAACAGACACGTAAATATCGGAGGTAGGTAAATGTTGAAATACCCGTCTGAGAGGCGGCGAATGTGAGCAGCCGCCGCCTGTGATGTTATCTGCATCCCCACGGGATCATGGGGAACATTTTCTGAGTATTTAAGGAGTTCCCGACTGAGAATTTTGCATTCACTGACAAAAAATAATAAAAAGACAGCAACAACACAAAGACAAAAACGAGGACAAACTGGAACATTAAAAAGATACAGCATTCAGAAATACTTCTAAATGACATTTGGTCACTCAGTGCTTTTGTTCTTGCTTGGTTCATCAAGCAAACCTCCAAACAACTCCTTAAGGGTAGAGCGAGCTCAACTCAGCAATGGAGTTACTTAGGGCCAAGATACATATATACACTTTATACATGTAGATAAAAATAATAATTATAATATAACAATAACAATAAGGCAACGCAAGATGATATAAATACTTATGAAATAATTACAAATAAAATGCAATACAATTGAAATAAATAAGGCTGAAGAGTAAATACATTAATATTAAAATCTCCTTTTCAGAAAAAACAAAAATATATTTTCTCTCTTTGGGATGGGTGTTTGAAGAAGGAGGAGGTGGGGGGTAGGGGATCGGGGTGGTTGGGACCCACAGTCCCGCAATGACAGTGTACCTGAATTAAACACCACCATGGACAAGAGCAATAAATAAACAGATATTAAAATAAAGGAAACATCAGTGGCTTGCGTCTTCTTTTTCTTCTTCTTCTCATGCGATCCGCTTCAGTGGTTGATCTCTTTAAGGGCATTCGGCACCTGCAGGCAGTTCTGTCGAACCTAAAATCCTCTTGCCATTCCAGGAATTCACACACCAGCATCGACCCCTCTGTCCGTCCAGCGAGGATTCACACTGTGCAGAGAAAGGGAAGAAGAAACCCTCTTATTCAGTGCCTTTGTTGGGTACACACACACACACATACAAAATCTCTCATTCACCCACAATTATATTACAGCAGGGTATTGGGAGCTCTCTCTCTCTCTCTCTCTCTCACACACACACACACACACAGTCATTTTACTGAAGGTACCAACCTGCTTGGGTTTGTAAAGCCCGTTTTTGTCACAGTTGGGGAGGTAGAATCTGGTTAACTTGTCCCCTAACTTCTGCTGGGATTTGGCAATCTTTTCCAAAGCCGTCTGCAGCTCTAGGTGACAGGGCCCCTGCACAGCACACATAGGATGGAGATGGGTTAATCTCAGTTGATACAAACAAAGTATAATCAGCCGCGTCTCATTATCAGCAAGCACGTGGGCTGACATGAAACTACATATCAAACTTGTAATAATAAGTCTTCAATAAATTCAATAAGTCTGCAGACACACACACACGCACACATTTTCCATTATTTCAAACAGCACACGAGCGCGCCCTTGTGGCGCACCAGCCGTCTCTCAAACCTCCCAAAGAAACTTTTAGCAACACATCGCAGTGAGGATTTTCAGCACAGTAATGCGGACCCAGTGTCAGTACCTGCTCTATCAGCTTCTTGCGGATGGCGATGAGTTTGGCTTTCATGCTCTCCTGAGCGTCGGCGGCAGCCCGCGGGTCGTACGGCCTGCCGTGACCGGGGAGATAGTGGCTGTAGCCGGGGTCCGAGATGATGGCTGCGTTGTCCATCTCCAACGGCTCTGGCTCTTCCTGATCTGGAGAGAAAACACGAATGAATGAATGAATGAATGAATGAATGAATGAATGAATGAATGAATGAATGAATGAATAAGTGCGACTGTAAAAGATCCCAATGTTGAGGGTTTGCTGAGATGATCTGAAACACTGATGGAGAATGTGGAGGTGATAGGCCTTACCTTGTGTCTGGGGCTCGGGGGTGGGCTCGGGCACAGGGCTCTCCGTGCACACGGCTTGTCCGCGGGTGAGGGAGTGCAGAGGCCGGGGGTCGCCGGGTCTCGGCACGCACCTCAGCCCGGAGCCGCACGGCGCCGTGTAGATCCCGCACAGCTCCCCTGCTTTCAGAGCGCAGGCGAGGCAGCATCCACAGCCGGGCTCCCGCAACACCTCGGCGCATCCGGGCGCCACCGCTGGACACTGGCTCATCTTCTCCGGAGTACACGGGGCGCAGCGAATCGGCTCTGGCCCCACCACCGGGGACCCCAGCGTCCCTGTGAGCAGCACGGAGCACAGAGCCGCCGTCACGACGTGTCCTACGTATAATCCAGCCACGGCCAGCATTGTTATCTGGATACTAAATATGAAATGTAGCGCAAGGCAGAGATGATGATCAGAGGTACGAGCCGGGTCGCCTCCTGCTCCTCAGTTGTGTCTTTCGTTTGATTTTGGGAAAATGTCTAACTGTGCGTTGCGCGCAGCCGTATTTATAGCCGGCTCCTCTGCGAGTCTTTGACGCGTCGGCGTTATGAATGATTTCTGAAAAGAAGGTGTAATGATACGATGGGCTCTCATTGGTCCGTCCACGTCCGGTCAGGCAGCTCATTTGAATACAACATTCGCGTCAATATTTAGTTTGGAACAGGCAGCGCTTTTTGCGTGTACCGCCGATGAGTGACGACACCAGTGTTTGCTGTTGCAATCAAGGACCCCCTTTCCTCACCCGGGTGCCACACTGAACTCCAGAGTACCACATTAAAGTAACAAGGCGCGGGCAATGAGTTATCAGCGCCGTTTTTCTCTTGTTTCTTTTTGTTTTTCTACAAGTTGTAAAGAGGACACGCATGAACTGCCTGAGGGGAGAAATAGCTCCTTGTTTTTTGGAGTGGGGGGCTTTGCTGCAGATGACCTCCTCTGGAACAACACTGACTATTCATGAATTGGTCCATTCATAATAGGCTTTTATTAATTGTCCTCAACAAACTTCTTACACAACTTTGGAGAAGAAGCAAAAATAACAACAATGGGCGCAAATTACGCACGCCCACGCTGAGCGCCTGGAGCGTGGGCCTTCCGAGAGCGAACCGGTGGCTCTAATTTTGACATGAGAAAGCATCGGAGCGTTGCGAGGAGATAATAAAACTCCAGTTTCAGAAATTGCTCCGTGAAACGGGGTCGCCGTTTGGAGGGCTCGGGACTCTCTGTATGCGATCCCCGTCTACCCCTCGTGCGCGCACTGGAGACGGCTTTGAGTTTCATCCAGGAAATGTCCCGTCGTAATTATCTGTTTCCGGGGATAATAATAGACCAATGCTTTTGAATGGGGGCTAGCCTGACGTGGCCGCAGACACGTCCCAGGCCTCCCAGCCGCTCTCTGGGGACTTTGATGGTCCCACAGTGGACGACATGCACATTTTCACGGCTTGCTGCAAGGTATTTTCAGTCCTGTCACTGCATGTGAGAATGTTCCCTCCAAAAGACCCCCCCCCTCCTCCCCCAGCACACACACACACACACACACACACACACACACACTAAAGGAAAAACAATTTTTCCTTTCCCAGTGCACACTGCCCCCTATTTAAAAACCCTCTTTACACGCTATGATAAATTATCACCTAATATCTGACTTTCTGATGCAATGCCCTGCATGGTGTCATTATCTCTATGTAACTGCTTTGTGAGATTGCATCATCTGCCAATTGGTTTAACAGCCACTCAAACTCATTGCCCAGATTTCTGTTCCTCCAAGCCCTGGGGTGAAATAAAGATTTGGGGACTCGTAGCTAACAAGCTGAAGTCCTGTTTGAATGTAATATGTGGATCCTGGGGTTTATTTGAGCTGGTTGTCCTCCTCTGGAAATTTTGAACATCCAATTCACTTTTTTGCGCACAGTTTTGTAAAGAAAACAAAAAAATCAGTAGCAAGGTGACAGTTCAATACTGCATTCATATGCTACAGTAAACAATGTGCTTTTATATAATTTTCCAATAAATACTCATTCTCAACTTCTCTGATTTGATATCATCCCTGCTGAGTCCACATGAGTAGAGAGTTTCTTTACTTCTCGTTTGGGGAGGCCACTTGTTTAAATGTGTTTTTAACCTCTTTTTATAAGTGAACACATAAAGCCCCAGATTTATTATATGTTTTGGCATATTTTGAAAACACATCTCGACTACATTACTGATTCTGACCCCAAAAAAAACTGAAAGGGAAAACTTTTGATCTTGAATTCATGGTCTCAGAAGATACTTTCAGGTCTTCTTGAACAAAACATGATATGAAGCAATGTCCAAGCATGGCGCAGTTTAAAAAGCGGTTT